TTGTCTGCATGAAACATGTCGCAAACAGCTGAAAACTCTGGTAAAGCCCAAATTAGCATCTATTCACCTTATGTCTAAACATAAAAACTTATATGCAGATATATAGTAATAGATATAAAGACATAAATATCAAAATGTGTGTATACGTACATAGACTAGACGTAGACACACACACACACACACGCATACACGGATACACAACCTGCATGCATGCGTGCATATGTAGGTACTACACAAACACACATCCATCCATCCCTCCACCCATCCATCCATCCATCGGTCCATCCATGCATCCACACGTCATCCATCCATCAATCCATCCATCCGCCCACCTCCGTCCATCCATCCAAATTCACACAAATGCATCCATGAACTCATCCATGCATGCGCAGAGATGCATGCATACACCTCTATCCATCCATGTGTATGTATATATATATATATATATATGCACACACACACACACACATAAACGCACACATGCATGTATGCATGCACGTGGCTGGGAAATTGTACCACAAGGCATGTCCTATTTACTTGATCGCACAAGGTCCCCTTTGCGAGGTCCCCTTTGCGAACACTCTACCCAAGAGTACTCCTTGCAAGGCTTAATTGGCGGCTGAATCCTCCTTTAGCATCCAGATCTCATTGGCGATGGCCGCAACATTGAGTTGAAGCCCCAAACCCTGGAACAGTCGTGAATCAAAACCCAACACCCTGGACCGCCTTGATAAAGCCTACATCCCGAAACCCGAAGCCCTCAGTCCCTTTCTCATAAACCCTACATCAACCCTGATGCCTCTTTGATACACCCTTTTGGACGAGGTCTTTATCAAAACCCTGAACCCGAAGCCCTAAACCCTGAATCCTGTTTGATAAACCCTAAACCCTAAGCCCGGGCCTTCGAGCTCCTCCACCCTCCGCCGCAACTCCGCCACCACCTCGGCGGAGGCTCCCTCGCCTGGCAACGACAAGAGCTCTTGGCCTGTTGGTGTAGGTATGCGCCCTTCTTTTGGTCGAAGTGCGTCTAAAGAGTCTCAAGGCTTCTGGGGGCTCTTGTACGTGTGTTAACTTGGGTTTCATTGCGACATGCTTTCGGCACAGCCATGCGAGCACGCCAGGACGAGTCGTTTCTAGCCTTGCGTTTGCGAGACACTGTGTGCATCCCTGCCGCTCTGGCTGATTGCGAAGCTTCCGGCCGAGTTCGGGAGCTTGTGCACTGGAAAATCTTCGGGCTGCGAGCAACTACTATTGCTATTACTATGACCATTCCCATTCCTACTGCTATTCCTACTCCTACCCGTCCTACTAGTATTACTACTACTACTGCTACTGCTACTGCTACTACTACTACTACTACTACTACTACTACTACGACTACTACCACTACCACTATTACTACTACTACTACTACTACTACTACTACTACTTCTACTACTACTACTACTACTACTACTACTACTACTACTACTCCTACTCCTACTACTACTACCCCTAGCTCCTGGGTACGCAATCCCTGCAGGATCAGCTCCCAGAAGCTGAGACGTGGGCCATCGTTTTCGGAGCTGGGGTAGCCGGCCTCCTGATCTGCTGGGTCAATCCACTCTGGGCTACTATAACTTGCGTAGTAACATACTAGCACTACAGGGTTTCTGGAAGGCTTGGGGGTTTGGGGTGTAGGTGCATATATGCTACTATTTCCCAGTTCTTGCACTTAAGAACAAGATGTTCTTGCACCAAGCTACGCGGGCCATGAGGATCCTGGCATGCTGCTGATGTAAGAGTCTGTTAGAGCTTCTGTAGGTAACGACAAAGCTCCACTTACAGCTGAGAAGCTCCTTGGACCATTGGAATCAGTGCAACTTCCCGGAGACCCTTCTCTTGGTCTCTACTTTGAGGATGTTATATATAAGGTAACTATAATTATAACCCCAATTAGGGTACTTATAACCTTACTTACTAAGTCCCATGATCCTCCGAGTACACGCTAAGTCCAAAGGCCTGAGGCCTGCAGATAACACGGTAGATAGCAGCAGCTAGCAACATCGGAAGAAGTGTCCGTCCTTGGGCTGGCCATCGGCACCTGGGAATGAAGCGGGCAAACGACTGCTCATCAACTACGTCTTGTGCTGGTCTTCGCAACAGGAGGTTCTGAAGCTTGCTCAGCTCATGTACGAGCACGGGCCGCAAGGGAACGCAGGAGTCTCGACACCGACGATGCACAGAGCAAACTCCGACATTATCTGCGCCGATAGCTCCCGAGGCCGGCACCAAGCTTTACCGGGGCACCGCCAGTGACCAGACCGGGCCTTGTCTGGCTGTTGATCTCCCTCTTGGAGCCGCAACAGTAACGGTAAGAATAAGACCAATAGTAATTGCAAGGTATGATAGTAACAGTCATACAGACGGGTACCAAAAGTCGGAATTTCCACCAGGGTCGGGCCGGAAAGAGCCGCCCTCATCACTGTGGGGGGGGCCCTTTGGGGAAGGAAGTCGGGCTCCCGGCCCAGCTCTCACCTTGGCGTTATCGGGAACCTGGAATGGTCCAAGAGGTGCTCGAGAGGTTTCAGCGATGGGATGGGACATGTCAGGCGGAATGGGACATGCACAATCCCACAACATGAGCGCAGCAATGCCAGAGCCGAACATGCAGGATTCGTTATGCCAACACACACCAACGCCATACACCTACCACGCATCCTAGGTTCAATCAGTCCCAGAATATGTCGTAGGGATTTGCACTGTGCTAATTACTTCCCTTTGGGGCGTGTCCGCCTCCCATCCCTCGTTGTGCGCGTAGTAGTAGGAGTTGGTACCCTTTGATTCGCGATTTCGGCCTCGTCAGGCGTGCAACATGAAAGCTCGCAAACTCTCGTGTCTCAAGCAGCTGTGGACACGTGGTATATGCGTGAAGAGAAAGAGAGAGAGAGAGAGAGAGAGAGAGAGAGATATATATATACACACACATACAACTATAAAACACATTAACAAATGTGTATATATATATACACATGCATATGTATATACTAATACAAGAGAAACACATAATTGAGAACCTATCACAGTCAGTGCCCAATCCTCACAAGGCCCAGACCCAGCTCGGACTCCGCTCTTGGCAGGGCTGGTTTCAGCGTCGACATGAAGCAAAAATTGAATGCCAGCAACACCCAGTCGACAAGGGGGTACTGCGGTCGTGATATATCCCCATGAAAGTAGGACTCTTCGACTCGAGATCAGCTGCAGTCTCAGCAAGGTGTGCACTTGGCAGCAGGTGCGCGCGTTGCTATGCAGGTGTATGGGACCCTGTGATGAGCCGCGTGGCTTTTGAGAGCTGGTGGCTGCAGGTTCACGAATCTCAAAAAGGAATGCTATGGTTCCGTGACAACAGCACCCCAATGCTCGGCCCCTGAGAGCCCCCTCGCCTCCCACAAAGAGCATCCCTGAACCCACCAAGCAAGCAAGAAGTCCGAGACTTTCGCACGTTCGGTGGCCCACAATCGGCCCTGCACCGCGTAAGCGAGGCCGAAACCAGTTGAGGCCAGCTAGATGACAGTTTGAGGCTTGATGGTTTCAACGCGAATTACAGTCGTGGAGCGGACCACAGACTCATGCCCGCCCTTGAGTCTGCACCTTACGGCCATTCAAAGCATGAGCAATACAGTAGCCATAACCAAAACTTGCACAGTAATGCCCCAAGATCAAAAGCAAGTGTGATGATAATGTTGATGCTGCGAGCACAGCCAGCAATATAAAAACTTCCCCCGCCAAATACGGATGTCCAGGCTCAGATCATACAGTGGTTAGTCATACCGCTGCGCGTGAATGTAATCATCATGGATTCAGCATTCATCGAACATTGGTCATACAGGCAGCAGACAAGATAGTTCCTGTCATGCTTCCACTGCCATCCGGCCGTCGAGCAGGCTGCTCGTCTGCAAACATTCTCCATCGCACTTCGCGCGAGGGCGGAGCTACGGCCTTCAAGGACCAGAATCTCCAGGTTTCCACGAACTACGAACCAGACTTGGGATTCTGGCGGCTGGAGACATTCCAGGCCCTGACTGGTGCAAAGGCAGTGCCAGTTCAGAACTTGCAGAAGCTGCAACGGCACGAGTTTCTGGCTTCCGGCCTTGTTGAGGTCGGTCTTCATACTTCACGGTAGGCTTACTTGAGGCTGTTGCCGCTGCCTTCTAAATGTGGAAAGCACTTTGCGACTACATCTACAACACCTGCCTACTGAAGGTACACGGCACGCGTTCCCTTGACGGCGACTTCTGCGAATGCTCACGGAAACTTCGAGCGCACAGCCTCGTTAGAACCTTTGCAAAAGATCTGTTCTCTCAAAACCCCGAAGTTTCCGCATGAGTTTGCCCACAACTGGATTGTGTTCGACCGTCCATCTGCGAGGGACTGGGGATCTTCGATGTCTGCAGATTTGCTCGTGTCATGTGCGCTGGGGCATGTTCGGCAGGAGCTACGCAGCATTTAGGCAAAATGGGATCTTGCAGATACAAGACACAACTTCGCAGATTAGCAGCCGCAGGATCCCTCAGTAACACTTTTAGGGCACACCGAAGATAGACCGTGTCAGGACCGGGGCTTGCGAGCTGCAGATGGATGTCGGAAACACCTCTCGCCCTCTGTGAAACCAAGAAGCGCAAAGAAACGCCGAGGAGCGGAAGGGTGAACCGTCTTCTCCCGTCGACCTTTAAGGGTGCCTTTCAGGGCTCCGATAAGGGTGCATTATGAGTGAAAAAATTGGGTTTGGGGGTTTAGGGTTGAAGTCGACCTTCGACATCGGATACAACAGCAGTCTGGGCAATTTTTTGCCAGAACTTGCTGAGCAAAGATTCTACCAGAAAGCGGCGGCTGGGCCATGGAAAGGGCCCAACATCGTGTAAGCAACTGAGGCTCCCCGAGCATCCAATCATCCCTGGCTCCAGAAACCCCCTGCATGCCCTACTCTCTACTTCTACTACGGTGAAACACTGCCTTTGCGATCACAGCAAGCTCGACCTGATTTTGGCAAATGGCATTCAAAACCCTACCTTCCATGTTCCCCACATTACCACATCTCCCTCGGGGCCGGCACAAATCCCTCATGGAGTGCCAGTCCTTCGGTGCCTCGAACTGATGAGGATCCTCCGTACGCGCAGGAAGGCTGAGGACCGCGGGGGAAGGCGGGAGAGCCGTCCTCCATGTAGCGAAGAAGAGCCACTGATGGGCCATCCTCCACGCCAAGCAAGTCTTTGGTTTCCATCCTCGGCTGAAGCAAGTTTGGCTGCAGCAAAACAGTGCAGCCAGCAATTGCAGGCAGCACCACTCAGGTTCCCGCAGCATGCGTCGGGCCACAAGCCACTCACCCTGTGCATAATTTTGGTACCTCTAGCAGGACAGGTGACACGGCCTACTGGTACTTCTCGCGAGTGGCACAGGAAAGACCCAGAGAAGTCGAGCAGTTATGACGCCACACAGCGGAACACTGCTTCTGGGTGCCCCGCCCCATGTTGAACAGCTGGAAGAAGTCAACGGTGTACCTAGACATTCGAAACCATTCGATTCGGAACTAATTCTTGCTGGCGGCTCCTGCACAGCCGTCTGCAGCAGATTTCACAATTCAGTGGCAAACCTCTGTCGCATCGCGTGAATTGCCGGATCTTCCTCGAAAGCCATGACAATCTGGAAGTCCTGGCATCATGACTTCTGTTTCTTCCGGAACTGTCGCCGAAACTTGTGGACAAGCTGGCAAGCCAAGCAAAGCAATTGGTAGCTACTCGTTTTGTGAACATGCTGACCCCGCACGACAAACACCGCAGGGTGCTCCTTGGCCAGCTTCTGCACCTTCTGCGACTCGATGAACTGCCGTGCTCGGTAGCGGTTCTTCCTGCGAAGCCATTTCTAAAGTACTGCTGGTTGCCGATGTACGGACAGCTTGGCAACAGAATCCGAAAGAGTACAGTGGAACCAGCTGCAGCTGAGTGCCCTGACGTATTTAGAGGAACTTGTGGCGCCGGCGAATTGTCCACGTCCAGACCTCGAGCTATATGAGACTGAAGCGACAGATTGGAGACTCCACCCAGTTTTGAAAAGGAGCACTGCGGCAACATCGACTAGTTCTGCGCACTTCTTTCGCCGTCTCCGGCTGCACGTGCTTCACTACGACGCTGGGTTCAGAGGTCTTATATCCTTTTCGGAGAATGCATGCACTCTTCTCAACCACAGCTGTATGCATGAACCGTGCATTGTTTGTGCTGCTGACCTCAATGGCATTGAATGGCAGTGGGGACATGTGGTGCGCGATTGGAATCGCGATCCTGAAGGAAGGCCTCAGCCACAGCGGCCTCTTCTAGCACATTGGCACACTGGGTTTCTGGCTGTAGTAGTCCAGGTCCACCTGGACTGGAGCTGCATGCTGAAGAGCCGGTGCATTCAGTGAAACACACGGCTGATGATGGGAAGCATCAACAGCTTCTGCAGAGACTTCTCTTGGCCCCTCACGCAATAGAGCTGCATGGGTGTTGGCGAACCAGTGATGAGGACGCGGTCAATCAGTCGGCTTTTCGCCAACAACTGGTCAAAGGCCGAACACGGAGGTTGGTGCATGGCATGCTTCTCTCAGCCTCTCCATGCCATATCCCAAGTCGCTGTCATCAACAGACTCTTACCATGCCTTTCTCTTGAGCACAGCTAGGCAGCCAGGGAAAAAACCCACCCGTTCCTCCGGTGAGCAAAGCTCCATGCAGCTCTGCGCCACGATGACAGATACGCCGTAGACCTGCACAGCACTTGTCTGCAGGCCTCTGCAAGACTTGAGCCGCTTCTATGCCTGAGTGCAGCGTTCAACGCTCGATGCAATGCTGACCTCAGTGGCAGCAAGGCTTGGGTCGAATTCTGGCAGCTCGTGCAATATAACACTGGGGTCCGTTCGTTCGGAGAGACGTATGAAGCATCGATCTTGAATTCGCTGCCCACAGCACCCTGTCCGCCAAGAGAAGTGGGGACTCACCCAAAGCTGCGGTGCCTACTAGCCTACTGACTACTGCTCTAAAAGCCCCGGGCCTCGATAGCCCAGCCAGCATGCAGGCCGAAGCTCAGGTTGACCCGTGTCTGAGAGGAAAGCTGACCTGGGCAGGGCCGGAGCACAGGTGGAAGACAGAGCTCCAAACGGACAAGACGACAAGGCTTGGGTGTCCTGCCGTTTCTGGAGAGCCGATATTGCAATCCAGGGTGCGATCGGTAATCTGCACACAGCGGAAGCAGGAAACCGACTTCAGACGGCCCTAATTCTCCCTTTTTGCACCCAGGCGCCCTCATTCTCCCTTTTTGCTTCCAGCCTTATCCCTAAACGTCCCAAACCCCAAACCGCAAACCGCAGCTGCCCTTCTCAAGTCTCCTGGAGACCCCACCTGCCAGAAGCGCTGACCGATGGAGAGCACCTTCGGAAAGGATGCATCTCATAATCTCACGGAGTTTATAGGGCTTCTTGTTCAGGGTCCACGGTTTGGGGTGCAGGCTTCAGGGTTCAGGGTATAGGGCCTATAGGGTTCAGGGATGTTCGGGGCCCTACTGGGTCCGTGCCGGCACCTGACATCAGGCTAAATCCTACTTGGAGGATCATGGGACTTAGTAACTAGGGTTATAAATAAGGTAACTAAAATAATAACCCCAGTTAGGGAGCTTACAACCTTACTTACTAAGTCCCATGATCCTCCAAGTAAAGGCCCACGTCCTTTTTCGAGCCCAGGGCTCCGACCTCTCAGCCCGAAAGATCCCGAAACTTTTGGATCCTGGATTGGAGGGGGATTGTCGGGTGGCTCCATGTTGCTCTACAAACCGATCCGAACCTATGACTCTAGCTCCAGCCCCGATCCCAACAAAACAACATGGCAACTCTCCCCAAGAACCGCGGACCTGTCCCACTGAAACCGAGAACCCTAAAGCCTTTTCAGCACGGACTGAGGTGCCGGCCAGCGCCTACGCAACCCTCACCCCCTCTTCAAGTCTTCCTTTTGCAACTGGCTTGCAACTTCACGCCAGGACTCCCTAAACATCCCTAAGCCCAAGCCCTAAACCCTAAAAGGAGGAACCCCTGTCTGATTTCTGGGGGCCGTGCCTAGGATCTTGCAGAAAGCAACGATCGACATCTCCGCTATCCTCCTCCGCTCGAAAGCCTGCCACGAAGGCGCCTACGACCTAATTTCCAGGATGTCTTCTTACAGCCCAAGGATTCCATAAGAATTTCATGAGAGCTCTCTGACAGGGAATCTCCAGGACGGCGGCTTTGCCAACCCTCCATCTGAACTACCTATGCGGATGCCTTGAGTCCTCATACTTCTGAAGGCATGTCGGGAGTGAGTGCTTCGACGATGGTTTCACCAATCTGAAACACAACGCTGCCACCTGGAACCCAAACAAAAATAACTGGGGGGTTACGTGCTTCCACAAAACCTGACCCTTCGAATCTTTCAGCACCAAAGAGGCTCTCCTCACCTGGGCGTTGTTGTCCATGCGCCAGATGACGAGGAACTGCTCGCCGCTGTTCTTGTTCGGTGCCTGGCTGCCGTAGTGCTCAGACGAAAAACCCTATCAGATCGGAGACAACTGGCAATGGCACTGGTAAGGGTAATGGTAATAGCAATAGCAACAGTACATGGAAACCGCAGGAGCAGCAGTAGTAGTCGTCAACTAAGGCCCGAAGGTGGGAACCGATCCAAGCCAGGGCCACTCCGTAGAACTCATCAGCGACACCATGGATGATCTCTGCGATCTGGTTGACAAAGGTCATGATGCGTCCTTGGAGAACCTGGCGCAAGGCACCAATCAAGCATGCGCCTCGAAAGGAGCAGCTATGCCGGCTGAAGTTCCAACACTAGTGGTCACTTCTGGCGAATCCCTTATTCGCTCCGGCTGAAAATAGGAGCTGGTGTTACCTTAAGCCCCAAAGTAGCCTAATTGCCCTTGTGGCCTCCGTGGCAATGCTGAAATCCAGCACTCTGCACACGCCGATTACCTCAAGATTCTGGCTCACATCGCACGCTGCCGTGTCTAGACTCGATGTCCGGCCTAGGAGATTAGAGGCACCCACAAGCGTCCAGAACCTTTAGAAACCTAAATTGCTTAGCATGCATCCAAGCGTCGGCATCCACGCGAAGGCCAGGAACTACGGCGTTCACGCCCGCAGTGTCGGAGCCTCACAAGTGACAAGTGAGCACGAATAGCGCAACTACCCTAATTATTAGGGTTTATAGTACTTCTATCATAGTGGTATATTACTAATATACCACTATGATAGAAGTACT